CCGACCTACGGGATGTACTAGCTAGTTATCCTTGTCCTCGACCGCACATGTTTTATCGTCATTCGCAAAACGTTTTATAACATTTTTGTTTTGACAAGAATTCGATTAGAATACTAAACAACGTTATGTGACACGAAACATGACATTCGCTTTCTTGTTTCATATAAATGTTTCAAATGTCGAACATTGATTTATACTTCATGTTATACACATATGCACATAAATGCGATGCTCATGTGATGTTTTAACAAAGCAGTACAACGTAACACCGAGGGTGTTACATAGATGAACCAAGTGAAGGACGTGATGTTGGAGCCGAACCCAAAGACGGTGTATGGTGGACCTATTCCGAAGATGGAAGGACTAGACAAGTGCTAGGATAGGAGATACTCGCCAAGCGAGTGTCGTCTAACAAACACTAATCTAGTGTTGGATCCCAGGCAAGCCCCGGAGCATTCTAAGTCTCCCATGTTTTACAAAATATTACTTGAGCCCTTTATGTTTGATGCATTAGGTTATAAGAGTTGATTGGAACCACTTGATGCATATAATTTCCTTGTCCAGCAATATATCTTTAACCCTATGTAGGTCCAGGATCGAATATATGCTTAGTCATGCTTAGACCGGTAGAAGTCGGGTGATTTCCTGTCACCTGCGAGATATAGGTGGATACCGAAGCACGGTTGGCTATATTTGCTATCGTAGAAAAGAATCATGGGGTAATGTAAATGGAGGCCGGACGGAGTCTATGTGTAGGATGACTCATGTGATTCCATCTGTGCCAATTAAGGACCGTACCGTTGTTGGCGCTTTTGACAAGATTGAACGTATGCCTCTCACTTAGCTGGCCGGATAACTCGTTCTGACCATGAAGCCGAGTAGCTCAACTCTGGTCGGGCCCCGTTCTATAAAAGTGCGCACTCTGGATGGTAGTAAGGATGTGCGGGAGCTAGACGTGAGCCCAAGGGCAGGGTAGTCCTGATCGTCCTGGTAGCCGGTTGTTCCTGATTGTGCGGCACTGGATGAACCCGTGAAATGTGGACCTGAGTTGTACCAAAGGTGACCTAAGACTACCTTGGTGCAGGTATGTCTTGGTTTGTGTTAGGAATAAATTCCTAGCTAGTTGAAATCGATTCGAATCGCCGTCTCTCCCGGACAGTGAAAAACTTGGCTAGTCCCAACATCGTAGTAACTGAATTATGGAATATGATGGTTATGATGAACATGGAATTATTACACCGGCTATGGTTACTATTGTTATGCTACTAAAGGCTATACCACATGTTTGGCATATGTTAGTTGCTAATCTAAAGATGAATAGCTATAATTAACTTGATGACCAAATTATAAAATGTATAGCGGAATTAGTGGCTTTTTATGAAAATTTTTGACAAGCTAGCTCCACTTATAAAGCCTTGCATGATCCTTGGAGTCGTTTTATTTCTGATTTATGATGGGTAAGTCTAGCTAAGTACATTCGAGTACTCAGGGTTTATCCCACCATGTTACAGGTGAAGTTCTTGGCCTGCTGAAGATGGTGCTAACCATCGGTGGGCTCAGTGACTCTATATTTATTTCTCATCTATATGCTTTTATTAGAGGATGTCACTTATGCTAGCAATGTATTTGGAGCTTATATTAATAAAATCACCGAAAGCTATGTTGTTTTCCCTTAATTGGTTTTGAAACCCAAACTTGTACTATTATTTGCGAACCTATTTGTAATATTATTTCCGATGTAACTCTGTGTATGTGATGTGTATTTGCTTAATCACGCGATCTTGGTTGTGATGTTGATTTACCGAGGTCCTTCGCGACACTCGGCGGACTACCGGGTTTATATAAGTGAAAGTATGCGCGTGTCAATGTGTTAGCGGGGACAGCCGTACTTGATCTTGTATAAATTGGGTAGTTCTGTCACAAAGCGCACCACCGTCGAATTAGCTCTAGCTCTACCCCTACCTCCGACGCGCCTCCGCGGCCTTTGCCAGTCCTCCACACGGAGGTTGGGCGCCCGTATCCACTCTCGCGCTTCCATGGCCTTTGCTAGTCCTCCACACGAGGGCTGGGCGCCTAAATCCTACTCGGTTACCCTACTATCGGGGACCAATACTAGGGTATCCGAAAAGGAGGGGCTAATGGTCATCAACATTGATTCATCCGAGCAGTCAAGAGCGTGACTACAGCTCCAACCGACCCCAGGTGCGCGGGCTCCGCCTCGCCCGACCTCTAGGTCGGGGGACCCGCCTCACCCGACCTCTGGGTCAAGGGCTCCGTCTCGCCCGGCCTCTGGGTCGGGGGCTCCGTCTCGCCCGACCCCTCAGGCGTGGCTCTTGGCGGAAGCCCGTACTGCCGCCAACCACTACGGGCCAAAAAGTACAACCTAAGATCAAACTTCTGGCATTGTGCAAGGAGCGGGCACATCTCAACATGACCCGTGCCCGTGACATGTCACTCCAGGGAACTCACATCACCAATAGTGATGGATGCATGGTCACTATGCTGCCTACTCCCTGTACGGCCGCTGACCAACACGCTGGTTCACCGCGTCACCCGCCGGGATGGAATGGGACGTCACGACCCACTGACAACGTCGAGGCGTGGCATCAGCGGCGAACAGGCGCCCGGCGTGGAGCCATCCCTGTCACCATCTGCAGTGTCGGCGAGACCCGCATAAAGGAGAAGAAAGGCCCAGCAGTCCTGAAAGCCTTCCTCTCCTTGGCTTTTCTCCCTCTTTCTCTCTGTGTAACCTGCTCTTCCCCTTCATCTATAAAAAGGGAAGTAGGACGCCCCAGGAGAGGGGACGACGATTCACCACTCTACACGGCTGTAAACATCAAAACAAACGCCCTAACACGCCTTAGGAGCACACGCACATAAGAGACTTGGGACCTATCCCTCTCCCGCTCGTTTATAACCCCTACTACAAACTTACAGTGCTAGTAACACGAGCAGCAGCGACGAACTGGACGTAGGGACTTTCTGTCTGAACCAGTATAAACCTCGTGTCCTCTAACCACACCATCCGAGCCAGACACGTAATACTAGAAATTTACTAGTTGGTAACTTGAAACACCGACACCTACGCAGTACAACAAACCGAGGGGGAAAAACACCGAAGTTACAATAAACGGCCCGCCTCCATGGCACAATGGGTACATAAATTACAAAGCAAATACAAGCTTTCATTAAGCTAAAAACATAAGCTCTGACTTTTACAATATCACGTGAAACGTGTGGACAGCCCCTTCACGGCTCCACAGAAGTCCCAAAAGGGTTCGGGGGCTCCTGTCGGGTTCATAAACCTAGGGTCCCCAATGGACCCGCTTTCCTACAAAACCCATCCTAGCAGACGGCGCAGCGACAGCACGCGTCTAGACCGGTCCAGATATATAATGACAGGCCAAGACAACGATCCGGTCCCTGACCGAAAGGCCTGGCCGAGGTGGGACCGCAGTCTGACTCCGACCCCCTTTCTTCAACCAAGGATACGCCGGACCTCTGCTCGCTGCTCTTTCCCGACCGACACGGTCGGGGCCAACTGGGAACGACTGATCGGGGACACCCGCTCGATGTGGGCCCGGGAGCAGACGGAGTAGATAAGATAAGACGCTCAAGTCAAACGCAATACCGAGGACCGTACCCTGCCATGTCCTGCGCACTTGCAGGACTGTGCCATCAAGGCATGTCAAGCGAATACGGTAGAGCCTCCCAGACGCGTCAGAGCATAAACAGTATTGTGGATGCCGGCGTTTGCCGTACCAGACGAACATGGTAGAGTCTGCCAAATATGTCTGAACATAAACAGTATTATGGGCGTCGACGGTCATCCTGTACCTGATGGTGTGGGCAACGAGACTAGGCAGTGCACGTATACACTATCTTTCTCTTTCTCTGACTTGTAAAGCCATCCTCTTCAACTATAAAAGGGGATGAGCTCTCTCCTAAAGGCCCCCCCCCCGAAGACTGGACAACTCAAGGACTCAACAGCTCAATAGCTCTAGAGCCCAACAGCTACACAATATACACGCTCTCAACAACTGATAAGGTAGGACACACAGAGCATATGCTCCGATACTTAGTGCACGTTTAAGCATCCGTCACTCTCGGACACTAGGTTTAGAGTTCGACCGGACCTCTAACACCCTCCTTCTCATTCTTCACTCGTTTGTAACCCCACAGCAAACTTCAAGCACCTAGGCTCAGGAATAAAGTCACCGATCGATTGAAACTAGATGTAGAGCACGTTGCCTGAACCAGTATAAATCCGGTGTCATCGTGTGATAGGCCACATCCGATCACAACGCACGGCAAAACTATAAATATTTACTTGTTGGACACATTTTGCACCGACAGTAACATACTGGGTCATGCACGTAAAACCAACAAGCTAGCATAGCCAGTCACCGAACAGGCAGTCACCGAACGGCCCCAAGACCTACTACTAGGCTTACAGAACATAGTGGACCGCCAGAAGGAAGGCTAGTTCGTAGCTGGGCTTATCCCGGATTGAAGAAAAACGGGATACCGTAAATACGGATGGACAAACGCTTCACCGTTTTTGGTCCCGCTCCCGGTTTACTCTGTTCCGTTTTTTTGTCCCGTTTTTGTTTATCGCGGAAAAAACGAAAACGGACCGGAAAAATAGTACTCAATCAATCCCAAATTATAAGACGTTTAACTTTTTTGACACAAGTTTGACCACTCGTCTTGTTCAAAAATTTATGTAAAATATCACTTCTTTCATCGTGGTTTGGTTTATTAATAAAAATTTTCAAAAATAACTTAAATTTAACTATATTTACATAAATTTTTTTAATAAGACGAGTGATCAAACTTGGTGAAAAAAAATCAAACGTGGGACGGAGGAAGTATATGGTTGCGGAGGGGACGGGATTATCCCGTCCGTTTTCAACTTTACCGACCGCCCCCGGCGAATCCTTGGTGGAAAAGCGTCGCCCCTTCGCCGTCGCCATCGTGGAGGCCTGCGAGGCCACCCGCTATGGCTGGGTCCGTAGCAGGCCCCGCTGGCCTCCTCCCAGCCACCGTCGTCGATTACCGGTGTGGAGGACGCCCGTGAGAGCCCCCATGACGAGCAGCAGCGCCAACACGGGTGGCGCACCGCCGCCGAGCTCGATGTGGTCGTCCTCGCCCTTCCTTGGTGGCTCCCCGGTCTCCCTGCCTCCATGCCCCTTGGCCGCGACCGTGGCTTCTGCCAGAACTCCGGGTGGAGAACCAGCAGATCCAGTAGTGCAGCAGGCACCGGCGCAGGTACACAGCGGGTCGAGGTCGCCGGTGTTGACGATGCTCTTGGTAACTATGCTACTTCCTTGGCTCGATTTGGATGGGAGCAGCACCATGCAACCCACAGAGCAATGGAGCAGGCAAGGAAGAAGCATAGGGGAAAAGGAGGGCTTTATTAAAGTACTCACCTCATAGCTATGGAGGGAGCTCACGCCGGCCGCCATGGCCACAATAAGCTTGCCCACCCTCCAGAAGATGTAGGTGAGGAGGAGCAGAGTCCTCAGGACACCCATGTCGGGCATTTTATTCCACTATGGGAAACTTTAGAGGAGAGGGGGATCAGCCCGCCTACCCTCGTCGCCGGCGAGGAAGCCGGAGAAGAAGGGTAGGGGGCCGGGGGACGGCCACTGGGGGTGCTCGCTCACTCGGAGACTCTGAGGCCTACCATGCCACTCCTTGGCATGGAGCCACGCAAGTGAAGGGAGGGCAACCTCTTCTTTCGTCGAAGCTGACTGGTGGGCGCGAGTTGGCATTGTCTCTGTGGATTAATCGCTCTCTTGGCCGGCGGCGGCAGCGGCAGCTGCAGCGGTGGACCGGTGGTATCACCGTCTCTCCCTCTCCCTCTCCCTCTTCCTCTGTAATCGCGTCCAATTCACCAGGGGAAATCATGCGCTCCATTCAGCATTTTTTTTCGCCTTCAGTTTTCTACTGATATATACCGAAAACAGAATACCATGAGAAATACAAAGTAACTACGGGGTAATTCAACAACGCGACCAAGCACAGCAGTAAAATGCACCCGTTATCATGACCAGGGAAATGTACATTACTCAGTGAAACAGCAGCTGAGTTTGATATGACGCGATGCCAAGCATAAACCCCAATTCAAATCCGTTCCCAACACTGTCACCAACCAACAAACCCAAGCTAAATTATTCACTGCATGCAATACGCCATGTCCATGCACAAGCCCACATATTACAGAACCAAATGAGGTGCAAACTTAAGTGCCCAATGACCAAAATATAGCATATGACAAACTTAGAAGCCCTGTTCGACCAGGTAATCGCCGAGCCTCTCCACCACCAAATTGCATTGCCCCGGAGTCATTGGCTCATCATAGATACCAATAATCAAGGCCATGCCAGTTTTCTTGATAGTAATGCCTCCAGTGCCCTGTAATGAATGTGGAAACAGCAGGGTAAATCAAAGGCATTTTCAAGAGTGTGTTTTCACATGTTTACTGAAAAATGTGGGAGGAAAGTGTTAAAACATTTCTTATATGACTAAGAGATACTACTCCAGAGTAGATTGTACATCCACTACTGACAGTCTAAGGATTCGCTGCTAGCAGGTGTTCCATGTTACAAGTTATTTTTCATAGTTTCATGGGTGGATGCAGCCATGATTTAATGACAACAGACACAAACCACAAGGCAATTTATCCTGCAGGACAAATTACTGCCCACTTCGTAGAGTGATCTTAAATACATGCTACAAAAGCTTGTAGATGCAATAAACTAACAGAGTTCAGCAGGCATATTAATTAACCCAAAGTGATCATGACCATGTATCCAGGCATCTTTGATACAGTATTCCTCCTACCTAATAATTCCACACAAGCTTGACCCATATTAGATATCATAACAAGAGTAAGGTACTACAGATACGAATTGAGTTTGTTTTTCAGTAAAATTAACATAAGCATACGAAAAAGGCATCAAAGCATTTCTTATATCAGACAATCTGTTCCCCACTGTACCTTCTTTCCTCGGATGACAACTCCAGGTTCACCTTGGATCACCATGTACTTTGTACCTCCAACGAAAAGACCAGTTGGTGCTAGAGTACCGGGTTCATCAAAGTCCTTAATGATCCCAGCAACCTCCTCAGGCTTTAACTGCAACAAGAAGCACGAAACATGAACATGAGAACACAGGGATAAGAGAACGAGGAGAAAAAGGTGATGGATCATATTGTGAACACAAGGATGTAACAATTGATGACACTCCATGACACCCTACATAAGGATAGCAACATAGACTCAAATCTCTGCTAGAACAACAAACAAATGTACAAAGCATCACACAATCTAAGTACTCCATATACGACAATGCCATGGGGATGATGGTAGGGCTCTGGAGATTGCTGTGTGTGTAATTGCTTAGAAACGGTGGATCATATCTTGTTCAAATGTCCTCTTGCCAGATTGGTCTGGTGTATTATTGGGGAGATTTTCCATTTGGATGGATGCCCTGTCAATTTACTGGAGTTCAGCGGTTCCTGGCTGCAAGGCCCCTTTGCCGGCCAATCTACTGATTTTTTTCTTTGCAGGGTTTGCTTGGACTTTGTGGACTACTCGCAATAAGATGGCGATTGAGAAACATTTTCCCAAAGCCCCAACTGATGTCATCTATGCCGCGCTCTCCCTGATGCAGAAATGGAGTATCATGCTTAAGGAAGGAGAGAGGAAGCGCTTTATGCAAGTGAACGACGCCATTCATGAGCTGGCTAAAGACCTTCAAGACCAATGCTGCGATGCCTACTGATGTTTTTGAATTGTAATGGCTTAGCGCCCATCGTTTTGTCCAGTAGCTTGTTTCTCTTTTGGTTCAGTACCGATGCTGTTGCTTTGGTCTGTAACGTTGCTGGTAACCCCAGCGGATGGTTGTATCACCTGCTTTCTTAAAAGCTGAGGCAGAACTCTTTAAAAAAAACAATGCCATGGGGAAATAAAAGGCCAGGTCAAAGCCTGTATACTACTGAATACGGCAGACAATTTCCAAATTACATGATTTATTTTCCTTGGCTAGGCATTTGGCCTATGGAACAATGCAGGCCACAAGCTGTGAGCCTGTGACCAACCATGGGACACAAAATACAAATTCCCAAATCCCAACCGATAGCTACTTTTGCTTTAATAAGTACCGCACATAGGGAGGGGCATCAGAAAATCATCATTTAATAAAAACGAAAATTGTGTGATTTGGATCAATCACACAACTGACGCTATATAGGCATAAGCACATGCAGCTCAGCCTTTGGTGTGCCTCTAGCAGCCACTCTAATTTTACATGTAAATCAAATTGCTCTAGGCTTGCTGACTGGTAAGTAAGTCTAATCGAGCGAACAACCGGATCACGTCAGACGCAAACAGCCCGATCCGGCCATCCCCCACTAGCAAATCCACAGTACACGGATCATTAAGCTTAGAGTCAGCTATACTCGCATCAAACGCCCAGAGAACCGCAGCAGCAGCAACCACGGCGGCGAGGGGAGGGGCTTTAGATCTGCATCTCGCCTCAGCGACCGAGATCCGGACCTCCCCTCGCTCCGATCCGGCCGGGCCGCGCGGCTGGGGCAGATCTGGAGTCGCGCGGGTCTAGATCAGCGCAGGAGCACAGGACAGGGCTAAGCAAGTAGGGCGGGAAGATATGAGGTGGGAAAGAATAACCTGGGGGAAGCCCTCGGACTGCGCCCAGGGGCTGCCGTCGTGGCCGACGATGGCGGCGGCGCTGAGGTGCTGGCCATCGATCTCGCACAGCAGGTGGTCGTCGACGTACGTCTGCCACGACATCTTGCTCCGCGCTCTTCCTCCTCCTCCTCCGGCGACGACTTCGCTTCTTATACTGGGGCTCTGCTTGGTTCGCACGCGGTGTCTCGGTTGGACGGCTGGACTGGGGGTGCTGGGGAATATATCGGTTGCGTGGTTTGGGCGACTAGCCTGGCGGCGACAAGCCGTGGAATGGAACCCTACTTTTCCTCCACTTCTCTTTTCCAATTTTATTTTCTATTTATTGGTTTTATTTAAATATTCTTTGAATATGAACAGATAGAATATGATTTATTATTAAAAAGAAGAGGCGGATTCAGGATTTTAGGCCAGCGATGTCGCTATAAACTCTTAGCTATTAAGATGTAAATGAATAACATGTAGGAATAGACAAATAGTATAACAGGAATGCCTTTTACGAGCGTGCACACTCGTGTCATGCGACACACATACCTTCTCGACCGATGTTCTCCGTGTTTGGGATTTGGGCTGACCGATGCGCGGTTGAGTGGAAGAACGGTGGAACTCACCTGCTACCGCCGTCGGAGAAGAAGGTCGCGACGTTAGGGTTTGGATTTTCAGGGATTTCCATGTTCTCCAGGCTTAGAAGGAAGTTTCTAGGGAGGATGGCCGGACCAGCGGTGGTGGTGGTTGAGACGGCGGCGGAGGGCGGTGGGAGAGTTCGGTTGGGTGGTGCCAACGGCAGGGGCGACGACCGGAGAAGAAGAAGATGCTGAGATTAGTGAGGTGGAAGCGGAGGCGGCGGTGCGCCGTCGGAGCCTAGGAGGGAGTCGAGGCGGGGGCTGTAACACCTCTCGTGTTACGAGCTCGCTTAGCACTGAGATCACAGGCGGAGAAATAGATCTATTAATATAGTGAGTAGTTACTTAAATGTGCTAATAAAATCTTAATAAGAAAATACGAGAAGCAGTTTACTGGTTGGCACGAAAAACAATTTTTATAAACAAAAATAAAATATAACTCGGAATTGGTCCATAAATAAAATTTGAAGTGCAAGTTTAGTAGATGAAAATGCAACCGTTGATTTAGCGAATAGATGTTGTTCCATGATATTTCTGATGGCTCAAAAATTGAATTAGAAATTAAAATTTGCCATTTTCATTGAATCGGCAAAAATTCGAAGTGGTGTTGAAAGTACACTTTTTGGCGATTTTTAAAAATCCAAAAATAGTGAAATAACGCCTGATGTTTTGGTTCTATTATTTGGTATAAAGTGTGTGCTATGTCGTGAAATGGTTGTTGGTGAAATTTGATAAATTTTTTACCATTTAAAAATTTAACCAAAAGTGCTTGGAGTGCTAGTTCTCGCTGGAACCTCGAATTCTTTTAAGTAGCAAACAATAGTAGACAATGCTATTTTGGCGTTTGATTTCTAACGAAAATGATTAAGCACTACATCTATGTTTTCGCATGATCGGTTGTAGTTAGGTGTATACTAGGACGTGGTGCAGGTCGTGGTTACGTTAGAGTTATGATGCTCACGTAAAAATTGACCGAACTTCGCTAGAACGCATTGAACTAGGTCGTTGGCGCTCTGTTCGTGAACCGGCACCTGTAGCGAGCGATCTCAGCCGCTCACCTCAACTATCTTGTCCCGCTCGTTCTCGGCCATTCATTCCACCTACCCGACCTATGGCTGCTGCGTACTGCATTCGCCCTGCTTTTTCTCTTTCTCGGTCTCTGCCTCTGCTTGTCTTGCCTGCCTTTGCCGAGTCGAGTACCCACCGCTGCGCAGCCACCCGAGCCCTAGGAGCGCCGTCGTCGGGCCGCCGTCGATGCGCCTTCCGTCGTCCGTCGCCCGACCCTTGCGAGCGCGCGAACCTCCACGGCACCGCCCCAACCTTGCCCAGCCGCACCGCCACGCGGAAGACCATGTCGGGGGCCGACTCATGGCCGACCCTCCCTCACGAGCGCGCGTGCCCGTGGCCTCGCGTTGGTCCACAGCTCCCCCGCTACCTTCCTTCATGTACCCACTCCCATCGCCATGCCATCACGAGTGCGAGAGCGTCCGAGCCTGTGTTGTCACACGCCGCATCCTCCTCCTCGACGACCGCAGCTCCATGCCGCCGATGCGCTCCCTACTGCTCCTCCCATGGCGACCTCCCCTGCTCTCTGCTCCTCCACGTGTAGCACCGGCGCCCCTCCTTTTCCTCCCCGCGTCGCGCGCCCTCGCACTGCAGGTTGCCGCCTCCCCCACCGTCGTCCGCATCGGGCCACCGGGCTCCACCTCCGGTGTAGTGGGCCACCGCCATGCCCGCTGCCCCTCCTCCACCTTCCCGTCCTTCCCTAGCCAGTGGCGCCCCTTCCGCGCTCCTTCCTCGGCCCCGCTGCACGCCCCACAGTGCCGTTGCCGCCGCTCGCCTGGCCGGTGTCGCCGCAGCCGGCGTGCCGCCACCACGGCTTCTTGCGCGGGCAAGCTGTCGGGGGTCGGCTCAGGTTTTGCAGCGGCCAACCCAAAGTTGCGCGGGCTCCCGTGCACCTCACCGGCGGGCTTCCCGCCGTCGCCGTGCCTTCCCCGGCCAGGATTGACCGCCGGCCGATGTTCCTCTACTCCGTGCTCTGCCTTTGGGGAGGGAGAAAAGGTGAGAAAGGTGAATAGAAACTAATACAGGTTTCTAGGTGTAAAATACGTGACTCACATGAATAGTAGAATACTAAATAGATAGAAGCGTGGGGATGTTTTTGCAAAACTACCATCGCGCTTGGGCTCATCCGCGTTGGGCCGCGTGTGGGCCGGCCGCTTCGATTGTTTGGTCGCCGCTGCTGCCTACTGCGTGATCAGCGCCCTTCATTGGCCGGGCTGTCACCGCCACCGCCTAAGGCCTCCACGCCACCACGCCTCCGCCGCCTAATTTGCCTTGGCCTTGGCCGCTTGGGTCACTGGATTGGACAGAACCTGGACCGCCTCGGCCCAAGGATCTTTTGTTTTCTTTTTTGGTGTTTTGTAATTTTAATAATTGGTTGAATGTTTGGAAATTCATAGTAAATTATAGAAAAATCATAAAAATGTCAAACCAGATTTGTTGAGTTTCTAAAATTATGATCTATCTATTAGCGTAATTGGTTCATCTAGTTTTAAAATGTTTTCAGGGTTGCTCTAATTATTTTAAAATGTTTAATATTTTTAAAATGTGAACTTGTAGGAATTTCCGTGATAAATCGGTGATAGTGTTGACTCTGAAAATTTTACAGTAAATTACTAATATTATTAGCTGCTCACTATAATTTTTGTAGCTCCTGAATAATTAGTTGCTAGATAGATAATGATGCCCTATTTCGAATAAAGATTAAATCGATAGAATAGAATAGAGAAACACCTTGAAATTATATAACTAAAATACTTGTTGGGAAATGACACCTTTCACGATCATGTTGATGCGTAGATTAGTATGTTAGTCATTAGAGCTAGCTTGTTAGTTCATAGTATGTACTCTGTGTTAAGAGTTGTTGCTGCCTTGTTAATTATCTGTTGTATCATTGCATCGATGCATATCATATAGGTACAATGATGGACCAACGGATCAATTGAAGGATGATTGGAAAACTGAAGATGGTGTAATGGTATTCTCTCCAGGAGATGATGCAATGGGCTTTCTATTCAGATGATGGTGGATGATCGGAAGATGCAGATACTAACTTTTTAGTATATATATTACCCAGGTAAGCCCCAGTGTATAACCTCTACTTTTCTGCACTTAAAACTATATTTGTGCATTAAGTTTTAAGGAGTTGAATGAAACCCACTTGCATATATATATATATATATATATATATATATATATATATATATATATATATATATATATATATATATATATATATATATATATATATATATATATATATATCCTATGAGTCTTACTAGTATGACAGGATAGTGTAGATTGCTATGCTACATGACTCCGATAGAAGTCGAGTGATTGCCTATCACTCGCGAGAGATAGGAAATATATTATTGTTGTTACTATATTATTATCACTTTGAATATATATATGAATGATAAATGGTGACCCAGCAAGAATATGGTTTGGGTATTGGTGGGTGTAAGAGGTTGTGCCCTGCGGCCAATGGGGCGTAGCCTGGTTACATTGTTTCTCTGTCTATGTCGGTTAAGGACCGGCCGTTGCATTGGACTCTAGGCAAGTCATAGACTTATTATCCCGAGCACATACTTGGGTATGGGCGCAGGAAAGACTTGTTACTATGTTGTCATGGGTTTTGGCTCTTTCTAGACCGACTTTTAGGGTGGTTTTTGGGTGGTGGTCCAAGCACCGCACTGAGTTCGAGACTCAGGGGCGGGGGCTTGGAGTCCTAAGTTTGGACAGGGACCTGGACCCCGTGATAGGAGGGTAGTGGGTTGGTCCTGCTTGTGCCTAGGGTACAAGTCGGACGTGTGTTTTGGGGTACCTAGCTAGGCACATTGATTCGTGAATCGTCGACGTTCCGGTACGACTTGTCTACACTCTAGCACCGTAGTAAGAACTGGAAGATAAAAGATGGTAAAATGATTCTGATTGCTTACCACCTGCTTGAAAGTAGCATAGGTGCTTACATAGAATGGTTAGTTAATGAACTAATGTTGACTGCTAATAAAAACTAAATATAAGGACCCACACTAGTAATGCTCCTGCAAATGCAATAAACCCACAAGACAGATAGCCTTGCATATCCTTGAGTCTTTTCTTTCCTTCTGTCGGGTAAGTCTTGCTGAGTACAATTGAGTACTCAGAGTTTTATTTCTTCTATTGCAGGTGACAGGAGGATGCTAGAGCTAACTCTTGTGTGTGGATCCCTCCTGGTGGGCTCAAAGAGGATTCCTTTACGCTGCGATCATAGTCTTTATTTATAACTCTCACTAAATGTTTTTATAAATGGAAGTTTTATAATCTGTTGCCATAGTTTATATATCAATGCTTCATTATGTCAGGAATAGATATTTATTTCCGCTGTAACTCTGATCACATGTGAAAGGACCTAGGATACCGCCTCGAGGGGGTGAATAG